CCAGATTAAAGGAAAGAGCTGACCGCAGGTGCTCAATCCATTTTGGCCTCTGGGAGGACAGGACAGGAGGCCAGAACCTTCAGAGCCCAAGCCCTGGGCCAAGGCCTTCCCCGCAGCCCCTGGTTCGTCCCTCCCCCACCCGCGACTCCAGCCCCCTAAGAGCAACAACTCCTGCCTGGCCTCAGCCGTAACTCTGCGGTCTCCCCTTCCATGGAGCCCCACAGTGCAGGGGTTAAGAGCCAGGCTCTGGAGACCGCCTGGGTTCAAATCCCAACTTTGCAGTTTACTAGCTGTGTGACCCCAGGCGCGTTTCCTAGCCTCTCTCTGCCAAGAATGCCCTTTAACCCTTCACCTCCTTCATGACTGTCCTTAAATGTCACCTTCTCAGCAAGGCCTATACGGTCCACTCTATTTACAACTGCACACCCCACCCCAGCCAGCAGCACCCCCCAGACTGTTTGTCCTGCTTTATTTTGCTCCCTCTCCCATCCGCCTTCTGACTTACTGTTTCCTTATTCCGTGTGCTCTCTGTACCCTCGCGGGATGAAAGCTCCATGGAAGCGAGGATCTGTCTGTTTTGTTCCCAGCTGTGTCTCCGTTGCCAGAACGGTGCCTGGCAGGGCTGGGCCTTCAGTGAATATTCCTTGAGTGACCAGGCATAATAATAGTGTCTACTTCATTGTTTTTGAGGCTGAAATGAGTTAATATGTGCAACGTACTTAGAGCCTGGCACATGCTAAGTGCTAAATACATGTTAGTTTTGTTACTCATTCACAACAAGGGTCAAAACCTAAACTGCCTACAGGAGCCAGCAAGTGGAGGGAGGGAGTGAAACAGCTCGGTCCGGGAGACAGTAGTGAGTGTGAGGCCTGTGTCACGCGTGGGAGGGGTTGCCGATGTTCATCTCCATTTGAATGTGGTCACATGAGATTATGGCCCAGTGTTACTAAACTTTCCAATTATCCAAGAGAAATCCTGAAATCAGATTTTTAGATGCGATTTCCAAACTTTTAAACTTTGAGAATTCAAAAATTTTGAAAACATGGTGTGGGCCAAATACAGTATATCTGTAGTTCAGCTTCAGCTTGCAGGCTGTCAATTTGCAATCCAGTCTGATGCCCGGCACCAGCAGACAATAACATGCTGGTTGAGAGAGGGAATGGATACATGAAACACAGAGAGTTCTGCAAGGAAGACTTCAGGCCTGCAGTCAGCTCAGTTCCCCGTCCAGGACACAAGGAAGAGCCCTAGTGAGTATGTTTTGTACCTGAATTCTCATCACCCAAAGGAAAGGTTGGCAGTGCCGTGGCTTGGCTGAGCTGGAGGGGAATGCGCCTGGAACCCCAAAATTGCCAAATTGGATGAGAGAGATGTCTCCTCTTTGTCCAGGGGTCAAAACTACAATGAATAAACTCCACAATCTCTAAGCAGGTGAGTAGGGTTTGTACCCTTTCGTAACAGGCTAATGGCAGGGGACAGCAGGTCCCTGCTGCTGGGAGAAGGCCACTTTTCAGGCCCACTCCAATGTTGCTTAGGAAGGACTGAGAGGTTCAGGCACTGACCGTGCTGACCCACACCTCCTGCCCACCCCACTCCCTGGTTCCAGAGTATTTCTCAGGAAGCCTTACGTTGTGTGTGTGTGTGTGTGTGTGTGTGTGTGTGTGTGTGT